TAAAGACCCGTTGTAATTCCCAGTAACACACATTGTTTCTGCATTAGACTGGAGTCCAGTCTCTTTCTTTCTCTCTCTCTCTCTTTCTCTCTTTCTTCTTCCCCCCAATCGCTGATGCCGTCTCCACCTTTGGGGTGCCCTGAACCCAGCTGGAGCTGGTCTCTGGCAAGTGGTGCCCAATATAGATTACAGCAGGTCAGATTACGAGCATTCCAGAAGAGGACATTCTTATGATAGTAACATGGAGTCATGAAGTAGGGACCGGGAAAAACTCAGAGAAAGAGAAAGAGATATGGATCAGAAAAGGTCCCGGAAATCCCCATCTCCTGGGAGAAGAAGCCCAGAACCATCAGTACCCCAGAATTCCTCTGCTCAGGATGAACCTACTGCAAAGAAGAAGAAAGATGAGCTGGATCCTCTTCTTACTCATACTGGTGGAGCATATATTCCCCCTGCAAAGCTCAGGATGATGCAAGAACAGATTACAGATTAAAACAGTTTAGCATACCAGAGGATGAACTGGGAAGCCCTAAAGAAGTTAATCAATGGCCTTATCAACAAAGTCAACATTTCCAATGTAAGTATCATTATTCAAGAGCTTCTTCAAGAAAATATAGTTAGAGGAAGAGAACTGCTTTACAGATCTGTTTTGCAAGCACAGAGTGCTTCTCCAATCTTCATCCATGTTTATGCAGCATTAGTGGCAATTATCAACTCAAAATTTCCACAAACCGGAGAATTAATACTCAAGAGGCTAATTCTTAATTTTCGAAAAGGCTATCAAAGAAATGATAAGCAACTTTGTCTGACTGCTTCAAAATTTGTGGCACATCTTATTAACCAAAATGTGGCACATGAAGTTTTATGCTTAGAGATGCTCACTTTGCTCCTGGAAAGACCAACAGACAATAGTGTTGAAGTTGCTATTGGTTTTCTCAAGGAATGTGACCTCAAATTAACACAAGTGTCACCAAGAGGAATTAACGCTGTATTTGAATGCCTTCGAAACATTCTGCATGAGTCTGAAATTGACAAAAGAGTTCGTGTTTGCTGTATGGAAGGATGGATTCAAGGACCACCCTATTATTCTAGAAGGACTTGACTTAGTGGAAGAAGATGATCAGTTCACTCATATGCTCCCTTTGGAGGATGACTATAATCCAGAAGATGTTCTTAATGTTTTCAAGATGGATGCTAATTTTATGGAGAATGAAGAGAAGTACAAAGCTATTAAGAAGGAAATTCTTGATGAAGGAGACAGTGACTCAAACACAGACCACTGGAAGTAGTGAAGAGGAGGAGGAGGAAGAAGAGGAAGAAGAAGATGAAGAAGGACAAAAAGTGACTATTCATGACAAAACAGAAATTAATCTAGTCTCATTTTGTCAAACAATTTATCTTGCTATTCAATCAAGTTTAGATTTTGAAGAATGTGCTCATAAATTGCTGAAAATGGAGTTTCCTGAAAGCCAAACAAAAGAACTCTGCAACATGATACTTGATTGCTGTGCCCAACAAAGGACATATGAGAAATTTTTTGGCTTGTTAGCTGGGTGATTTTGCTCTCTAAAAAAAGAATATATGGAATCCTTTGAAAGTATATTCAAAGAACAGTATGATACCATCCATCGCTTAGAAACAAACAAATTGAGAAATGTTGCTAAGATGTTTGCTCACCTTTTATACACTGATTCACTTACATGGAGTGTTCTGGAATGTATAAAACTGAGTGAAGAAACCACCACATCATCCAGTAGAATTTTTGTTAAAATACTTTTTCAGGAACTGTGTGAATACATGGGTCTTCCTAAACTTAATGTAAGATTAAAGGATGAAACCCTCCAGTCATTCTTTGAAGGATTATTACCCCAAGATAATCCAAGAAACACTCGGTTTGCCATCACCTTCTTTACCTCTATAGGTCTTGGAGGGTTAACAGATGAATTACGTGAGCATCTCAAAAATACACCAAAGGTCATCATGGCACAGAAACCAGATGTTGAACAAAATAAATCCTCCCCATCCTCTTCCTCTTCGGCATCCTCCTCTTCAGAGTCTGACTCCTCTGACTCTGATTCTGACAGCAGTGATAGCAGTTCAGAATCTTCCAGTGACAAGAACGAGTCTTTGTCTACCAGTAGTCATAGCTTTGCCTCAGCTAAAGACTTAAGAAAAAAGGGACAAGGGAAGACCAGACGTAAAGAAGTAGATAAGTTGATCAGGAATCAAACACATGATAGGAGACAAAAAGAAAGAAGACCAGAACAGAGGCATGAGGAGACAAGGACTGAGAAAGAAAGAAGGTCAGAAAAATACAGAGATCAGAATTTAAGCAATTCAAATTGGAGAGATCCTATCACAAAATACATATCAGATAGAGGTGTTCCTTCCAAACGAAATAATTACAGTAGAGTTGTGAATGACAGAGACCAAGAAATGCACATAGATTTGGAAAATAAGCATAATGATCCCAAAAAGAAGAGAGCAAAGAGAAGGAATTCTTTTTCTGAAAATGAGAAGCACAGACACTGAAATAAGGACAATGAAATTTTTAGAAGAAAAGATAGATCCAAGTCAAGGGAAATGAGTAGGAAACATTCAGGCTCTAGAAGCGATGAAGATAGATATCAGAATGGTGCCGAGAGGCGATGGGAAAAATCTAGCAGATACTCTGAACAGTCCAGAGAATCAAGAAGAAATCAGGATCGGTGAAGAGAAAAGTCTCCAACAAAGCAAAAATAATTCTACAAAATGACATAAACTGGACATGCCTTCTATTCATTCAGTTGAAGCAAATTATTTTTTACATTGATTGATAAATTTTATAGAGAACTCTTGTATAAAGTACCAGTTTGTATTTGTACATTTAAAAAATGTTTTCATTGTAATATGTTTTATAATTGAGACATTTCAAGGCCTTACACGTAAAATTATTTGGAGTTTCACCAGAAGGAAATGTTAAACCTATGGTAAAATGGAAGGATCTTCTCACAGGCCAATGGCGAGGGCCTGATATATTACTAACCTGTGGGAGAGAATATGCTTGCATATTTCCACAGGATGCATCAACTCCTGTTTGGATTCCTGATCGATTCATTCAAAATGCCCCTGCTAACCTAAAGACTGAGATGAGTGGCATGAATCCTGTTGAATCAAAGGAATAGACCGGAGAAAAATGTAAACAAAATAAGGGTTTTCACTTCCTTTGTCCTCTCCTATTCCGCCTATAACTCCAATTCCTGCCTTTCCTACTACTCTTGTTTCTTGTAATCTGTTCTGTGAGTCCCTTCACCTTTATCTGAGAAGGAAGGGCAGGCGTCTATGGCCGTGGTGACTAGCTCTGACTTTCAGTCTTTCTCTTTTACTTTTGGAGAAGGGGCAAGTGCAAAAGGCCACAGCACCTGACCCCATCCTCCAGTCTTTCTCTTTTACCTTTGGAGAAGGGGTGGGTGCCAAAGGCCATGGCACCTAACCCCAACCTCCAGACTTCTCACCCCCCCCACATGTCTCTTCTCAAGGGGATGGCTTGGACAAAAGGATGTTAAAAATTCTTCTTTGTTGTCTTCTTATGATAAATTTCTCTCAAGTTCAACTTTCCCAGATGGAAGTAAAGGAATCATATAAGTGAATCCTGTTAGCTAACTACGGAATAGGTGTTAATAAGCAGACTAGACTGGAAGGACAAGTTCTTTTGGATGTATTTTATCTCTCAGTCAGCACTGGCGCAAACTCCAAAAATTAGAAAAGGGCCCACAAACGCCTCAACTATAACTATTGGACACAGCCTTTAAAGTCTTTAGCAACTGGGAGGAGAAAAGAATGCGGGACCAAAAACAAGACAAACTTACTGTGTGCAGTCCGAGACATCGAGGTGGGAGAAGAGCTCACCATCTGCTACCTGGATATGCTGATGACCAGTGAGGAGTGCCGGAAGCAGCTGAGGGACCAATACTGCTTTAAGTGTGACTGTATCTGATGCCAAGCCCAGGACAAGGTAGTCTGCAACTCTTTCACCATCTGTACTGCAGAAATGCAGGAAGTGGGTGTTGGCCTGTATCCTAGTATGTCTTTGCTCAATCACAGCTGTGACCGTAACTGTTCAATTGTGCTTAATGGACACCACCTCTCAGCGTACCTGCTCGCCCCTTCAATGATATGGAAAAGGACTGGTCACTCATCCAGCGAGATACTGGCTTCCTGAAATGGAGAGACTGTGCTTATAACTCTAAGGTGGACTATACTGTACCTGGTGAAAGACTATATATTAGTGACTGGACTTTTAATGGCTCTATGCTTGCTGCAACTAGCAGGCACTCCAATAAATGGGTACCAGACAAGCCATTCAACCTCATTTGTGGAGAGCCCTCTCAGCCCTTCAATCAGTCAGCCTGTCTAGGCCTGTTGGACAAACTCAGCAGTACCACATTAGGGATGCTTGCAGCTCTCTTTTGTGTTTTTAGTATGAAATAAGTACTAAGTTGTTAAAATTGAGTATCATAGCAATGTTTATAAGGTGTCTTGTACTGGGTGGATTTTTAACTAATTGTTTAACTAATGCCTTTTACGAAGGTTTTGTTATTCTTGAGCAGCCATCTTATTTGATGATTCTTATATAATTGTCATCTCATTGGTATGATGCATATGGTTTACAGATATTGTATGAGGCTAATGCTCTTTTAGAAAGACAGAAAATATTTTTGGCTACTTTTAATTTTAGGAGTTACAGCTTTAATATGTACTTTTGAGCTGTAGCATTATCTTGGGAAGTTCATACAACTACATTTGCTGATCGGCTGTCCAAAAACATTTCTATTGCCATAGCTATTCAGGAAATCATAGACCAGAAGTTGGAAAGTAAGGTTAGTGCTTTGGAGGAAGGAGTTTTAACAGTAGGGCAAGAACTTGTGACCTTAAAAAAGAAATTGACTCTCCAATGTCACTCTGAGTTTAAATCTATCCATACTTGGGACAAAGTAACTTGGAATTTGGAACCATTCAGACCTGAGTATAGACCTTACTAAATTACATCAAGAAATTCAGGCATCATTTGCTAACCAAAAAACATTAATGTCTATACTCATCAATGTGGAAATTTGCAGAGCAGTGATTCTTTTGTTGCTGTGTTTACTCCCAATCATCTTCAGAGTGCTAAAGAAGAGCAATATGGAGTTTTGTGGTTTCGTGCTCAAAAATAAAAAAGGGGGAGATGTTGTGAGCTGGCCACGGAGGCCCACTGAGCGTTAGGGATCAGGAAGGGCCGTTGACCCCAAGACCACTAGGATGCGTTTGGGAGCTATTGACCCTGTTTCCTCCCCGTTTCTACTCAGCACTAACCAGGTTAAGCTCCTATGAACTCAAAACATAAAAACTCTGAGACCGGGATGAACACAAGCTAACTTTAGAAGCTCATTGTTCCCATTCTTCCGCAAACTGAAGTTTTGGCTTTCACACAACTTATAATTCAAACTCGTGTCACATCTAAGAGCCTTAGTATTGGTCACAGGCTTCTGGGTCATGATCTTAGGATTTATTGAAGGTGTAAATTGTAGAATACAGTTTTAGAAGACAGCCATTTGTTGAAAGAATGCGGCTGGGTTACTTGCAGGTAGCCCACTGTGAACTTTGGACTGGGCCACATTCCAAACATTCTGGGATGGGCCACTTTCGTCTGTAAAGTAAATACATAAGCTTCTATAGCATTGTTTAACTTGGCATAAATCAATCAGTTTAGGATGAAAAAGGTTTATAGAATATGTCAGTCATGGATTAGGTTATCCTTTGTTATGGGATTTTAAGATTATCATATGAAAAGGGTTTAAAGGCAATCATTGATTAAGTTTTCATGGATTAAGCTTTCTGGTGGGTGGGGGACCCCTCCTCCCACATCTGACTTTGTGTATAAAAGACCCATTGTAATTCCCAATAAACACTACATCGCTTCTGCACTAGACTGGAGTCCAGTCTCTCTCTCTCTCTCTCTCTCTCTCTCTCTCTCTCTCTCTTTCTCTCTTTCTTCTTCCCCCCAATTGCCGATGCCGTCTCCACCTTTGGGGTACCCTGAGCCCAGCTGAAGCTGGTCTCCAGCACAATCACTTCCTCAAAGCCCCACTCCCAACACTGCAGATCACATTTTAATATGAGATTTGGAGGGGGCAAACATATAAATCATATCAATATAAATGAAATGTCTGCCCTTATTGAGTCTAAATTTTAATGTATACTGATGAGAGGCTGGAGTATTAGATAGTGTATTAGTATCACACAGCAGGTATAAGCTAGGTTATGCCATAGGAGACTACATCCCCAAAACGTATTGGCTTCTGAAAACAAGGGTTTATCTCTCACTTCTACTTCTCACTTTGCTGGTGAGCTAGGTTTCTGCTCCACATTTCTTCACGCTAGGATTCAGGCTGGTACAGTAGCCACTAACTCAAACATTGTTGCTCCTTACAGCATAGAACAAAATTACCCTAGAGAGTCTTGCTAGTAACTCAATGCCTTATCCTGGAAGAGGTAATTCTCATTTCTACTCCCAACTAGTTATGTGGACTTACCCAATCACAAGGAGACAGATATGCCTGGAAGGCAGAGAAGTGAAACTCCTGACAGTTTTAATGACTATTAGAGACACGCATGCTCTGAAAGGGAGAAGGAAAATAGGTAGAATCCTCCAAAGCAGTGAGCTCCCCAAGCTTTGCAGAATAACAGTCTTGGAGCAATGGGCATCCAAGATGAAGCTGGCAGGTGCAAGGTGCCAGGAAAGGGGAGAAAAAAGTTGGAGCAGGGGTTCTATTTTATTTTTTTAGTATCTATCCTGTCTCAGCCACTTTAATTGTATCATATTATTCACACATTTAAATTTAAAGGGTTGAGAAGGAAAACAAAATGTTTAGGTGTGAACAGGAGAGGTATTCCAAAGATAAACTAGACTCCCTGAGCAATCTGATTAAGCAACATGGTACCAGATATAACATGGCACATACAAACGATAGCTATGACCTCTAACTAGGTGAATGTATTCTCCAAGGTTTACCTTGAGTTTCCTACCAGAGATTCAAGGATAAAATATAAAGTATGACTCATAGAAATGCCTAAGACAGTAGGGCATGGTGGCTCACATCTGTATTCCCTTCTTCTTGGGAGGCTGAGACTGAGGTGGGAGGATAGTTTGAGGTCAGGAATTCAAGACAAGCTGGGCCACGTAGCAAGACCCTAATTTCCAAAAAAGAAAGAAATAAAAAGAAAGAAAGGAAGGAAGGAAGGGAAAGAAAGAGAAAAGAAAAGAAACACCTAGTAGAACAAAGTTCACTCTGCTTTCATATCCATAGCTTTAATTAAGGATTTTGTATGACTGTGGTCTGGCTGCAGCCTTTCTACAAATGTCAATGTTCTTCCTACTTTCATTACACAAAGACATGCAGTTTGGAATGAGGCCAGCGAAAGCTTTCCTTTTTCCTCTCTTTCTTTCTTTCTTTTTTTTCCTCTTTTCCTCTTCACTTACTTTTTCCTCCACTTGCTTTCCTAAACTGCTTCTTCTTTATATATCTTTCTGATACTAAACTAATTTGTTAATCTCTCTTCCTCTGGTATTAACAAGATAAAACTCTCTGTGGTTTTCAACTTATAATAATATTTTATTCAGTTATTTTTTCTTTTCTTAATTTTGTAAACATATATTGTCTTGTATCTTAGAATTAAAGAATGCTATAAAAAGTTAAAAGATAAGGATGATATTATCAAGC